GGCGTCACACAGCCTCCCCTGCCTCTAAGTCAAGGTCACGGGTGTCACACAGGCTCCCCTGCCTCAGAGCTCAAGGTCACGGTCGTCACACAGGCTCCCCTGCCTCAGAGCTCAAGGTCACGGTCATCACACATGATCCCTTGCCTCAGAGCTCAAGGTCACGGTCGTCACACATGCTCCCCTGCCTCTGAAGTCAAGGTCACGGTTTTCACACAGGCTCCCCTGCCTCTGAAGTCAAGGTCACGGTCGTCACACAGGCTCTCCCCCTTCTTCCAGCCTGTCAACTGCAATGAACCAACACATTTCGCATCACACTTGACTATGTCCAGCCTCAAATGGAAATGTCAGAGTAGACCACATGAGGTTCCTTCCTAATTTATGTTGTTTTACAAGGTTGCTCAGCTTTTGTGGACCAACTCCAAGGCTTTCACTTGGTCCCGGTGGTGGAAGTTCCCAGAACTGGGAATTGAGACACAGTCACAGTCTGTGTACAGAACGTCTGACAAGGCTCGTGGGTCTTTGCCACGCGCAAAACATGGGGTCTAGAGGCGAAGGCGTCTCTGGAGGCTCCGTGGGCTGAGCACTTGTTTGGAGTAAAGTAAATGCCATCTGAACCTTCACGATGAGATTGTCTCCACAGCCACCAGAAGAGCTGCTCTTTGTGACGACCCAGAGCTTTCTGTGACCTCTTAGGAAGCTGAATTCAGGTGCAGATCAGTCCGAACTAAAGAGGCAAACAAACCCGTTTTGTCGAAGGGCGAAATGAAAAGGGTTTTGGCCTGCCTGTGTCCCCTGTTCCCTTCGTCAGGCACGGAGCTGCTGGTGCTCCGTCGGGACACTCCTAAGACATGTCTGTGCTGCACAGGTGACCGTGCCCCCACCCCTCTCACTAGTGGGTGGCCTTGGGGAGTTAGCTCCCCTAGACTAGCAGCCCTTGAACCCCTCTCCCCTCTCAGCTATGGTTTAACCGCCCAGGAGCCTGGCCAACACCTGACACTGAACCTCACATTTTATTTAAGTGTGTTTTGTATTTATGCTTAAACTCTCCCAAATCTCTCACATACACAACCCCATAACACAAAAAGGCCGGTATTGTGTCCATTTTACATTTGGAGGAAACCAAAGCCCAACAGGGTAAGGGAATTGCCCAGGAACACATGGATCAGCGAGGCTAGAAGCAAACTGGGCTGCCGTGTGCTTCCGCCCTGCCCCCACACCCCCCCTCCACGGTGCCAGGTGCGCCCCTTGGTCAGGCCGGGGACCTCCCAGCCCTGACCCCCAGGACGGGTCCTGCATTCTCAGGGGCCTCTGGACCAGAGCTCCCCTGGGTGCTTCCCAGGGCACGGCTCTGGTTTCTCCCAGCACTGGACATCTTCCGGGGACATCTTCAGGTGGCACAGAAGCCACCTGAAAGCCTGGACTCGGGTCCAGAGACGACGCACACGCATCCTCTTTCTCCAGGAACTCAAAGGAAGAGCGGTGTCAGCGAGCCCTCAGAGCTCAGAGAGGGCAGTCTGTGAAGGTGCATGTGGGAGCTGGTGGGGAGGGCCTGGGAGAGTATGGGGAGCACCTCTCACTGGGGGTCACCCGGCCCGAGCCCGAGGCACAGTCACGGGGAGGAGGGAAAGTGCTGGAGCTGGGCCGCTGCAGGGGGCAGGCCGGCCTTGGGGCCCTGGGCTGCGGCCAGGAGGGGTGAGCCGCCTTCAAGGCCCCTAGACCGTGTTGAGCAATGCCTGACAGAGCTTCCGCAGCCTGGGAAGGAAACTCTATGATACGTCCCCTCGGTCAGGTGACAGAGCGGCGGTGGGCGTGGGTGCCGCTTCGGTCCGGCCCGGGGCCCAGATTCTGCCGAGGGGGGTGCCTGCTGTCGGGTCACACCCTCTGCCGGAGGGCGGGCACGGGGACTTTGCATCCAGACTCCCTCACAACAGCACACTTGAGTGCCACCCTGGGGGCACTTAAGTCCCCCAGAGCAGTGACCCTCCCGTGCCCAGGGTGGGTGGGGGAGGGGAACGGCCCCCAAGAGTGGGGTTCCTCCCACAGGTAGGACCCCCGAAGGGTCTCAGGTACTATTTGGTTTGTACCTATGTGTGGACCAGACTATTTGTTTCTAATGTTTCTTAATGTTTATTTTATTTATTTTGAGAGAGAGAGAGAGAGAGCAGGGCAGGGGCAGAGACAGAGGGAGAGTGTGTGGGCAGGGTAGGGGCAGGGAGGGAGAGAGAGAGAATCCCAAGCAGGCTCTGCCCCATCAGCACAGAGCCAGACGCGGGTGTGTGTGGGTGTCTTCAGAGCGTGACCCAGGCTCCTCCGGCAGGTGCCCAGGGCCCAGCCGCTCAGCAGACACGCGACAGGCCACATGGGGCACCGTCCTTGGCGCACGGGCCCTGCCACGGCCCCGCCTCCCCTGTGCACACACCTGTGCGTCCTGCCAGCAGCCTGACTCACGCACATGGCAGATGTTCCACGGATACGTGTGCCAAGATCTCGTTTCAGGGTCAATAGTGCCTCCCTCACCGCCCCCCCCAGCCTCTTCCGGGGGCCCCACGTCAGTCCCAGCCACGAAGGCAGGTGAGGGAGACCCACAAGAGTGGCGCGCGTCCCCAGGTGGCCCCGCGCCGCGCAGCAGGCACAGGGCGGGCAGGGCCCGCTCCTGGAAGCAGACAGTCGGCCTCCTTCCCGCGGGCGAGGCGTGGGCACACCTCCCGCGGTTACCGTTGGGGTCGTGCTCGCCTGGCCCCAAGAGCAGGATCTGGCGCCCTGGGTACCGTGGACGGAACTCAGGGAACGACCCCCTCGGGGACCACTGGGCTTCTCGTCAACATTGTAGCCGTGCCCAGGAGTGGGGGCCGTGTCCTGGGGGCCAGCCCTCACCCAACCCCTCCGCCCACGGTGCCTCCAGAGCTCCCAGAAGAGGGGGGGCTCCCCCAGGGGGGGTGCCGGCCAGGTGCCATCAGCAGGACGGTGAGAGCCCCGGGTCCCGCAGGCAGCTGGAGGAGCACAGGCGGAATTAAGGAGCCGACACCCCTACGGCACCGGGCCGCTGCCGGCAGAGTCGGCCGTGCTCACTAGAACGTCGGTGCTGTGGTCGTGATGGCTACACACACCAGCCTCCCGGCCAGGGCGCCCCGCACCCACGCGTGCAGGCCGAAGTGTGCGGATGCAGGCTCGCGGGGCTGGGGGAGGTGCAGGCGTAAGGCTGGAAGGGCCACTGGCAGCCCAGGCCCGCCTTGCCGCCCGGGTCACCTGCCCCTGGGCTGGGTGCCCACGGTCACAGCCCACGTTCTACAAGATGCGGCAACAGCTGAGGCCAGGTGGCCACAGCACCTTTGTGGTGACAACCACACTAATCAGCAGGTGTCAGGTGTCGTCTGACGTGCTCCAGGCCTGCGGTCCCGCCCAGGGAGAGCGGAAAGCAAACTTCCCGTCAAGCTCAGAGGGTGCAGTCTGAGCCTTAGGCTGCGTTTCGAACAGAACTGAAGCAAGTGATTCCGGGCCGGAAAGCTCTTTGGGGCGCCACCTTCTTAAGAATCCTGAGCCCCCGAAGCAAACGTGACACCCCCACGAGCCACTCGCTAAACAGAGGCAGCACCTGTACCGCGGCACACAAATCCGTGCTGTACGAGCACCCCCACCCGGCTCCTGAGCCCCCCTGCGCCCTCTGAAACCTCCGCCGGAATTAAGTCACGGAGCCCTCCCGTCTCCCCCCCACCGTTCGCAGGAGCACCAGCCACATCAGGTTGCAAAGGGAAACTTCTGAGGGCGGGAAGACCCGGGTCCCCCGCCAGCCGCCTCCGTCTGTTCAGGCACCTTTGGGCCCAGCTCTCTTCAAACAAGCCCGGAAAACCCAAATACAGGCCACGCGGGGGTCGAGCGCGCGGCGCGGAGACTAAAGGGGCCGCGCAGCCCGGGTGTCCCTGCACCTGCCTCGGGGCCCACGAGGCAAGGGCGGACGGTGGGGAGGGTAGGAGGCGGGGGGTGGGGGGGTGGGGGGGAGAGGGTCGGGGGGAGAGGCAGGGTAGGGGACGAAGGCGCCGCAGAGCTGGGACCCCGACCCCACCTCTAAGTCAGAAGCCACCGAAGGGACGACTGTGGGCCCGCGGGAGGGTCCCGAGTCCTCAGCTTGACTTCGGGGCGCGAACTCCGAGCGACGGCGGCGGCGAGGTGACAGTCCGCGGCCGGGTGTCCGTGGGCACCGTGGGCTCAGCCGTGGGCGGGGTCACGGGGGGCGGGGACGGACGCGCTCACCTGCGGGGGTCGCGGTCTCAGTCCGGGTTGGGCTCATGCTTCCGGGCTGGGGTCTGGGATTGGGCGGGGGTCGGGGTGCGGGTCTGGGTTAGGGTCGGGGTCCGGGTCTGGGTCGGGGTCCGGGTCGGGGTCTGGTTCCGACTCCGGGTAGGTGTCCGGGTCCGCGTCGGGATCAGGGTCGGGGTCGGGGTCCAGGTCGGGATCCGGGTGCAGCGGCGTGAACGCGGCCGCCGCTTTTCGCGGTCTGAATGGAGTCAGCCCCGCGGGCGGCGGTTGGGGGCGAGCGGAGGCGGCGCGTCCTGGCTGCGGTGGGCGGGGGCTTCCGTCCCTCCCGCCCCTGCACGCGTCCTCTCCCCTCCCCTCCCTGACCCGCCCCG